GGGGGGCGCGGGCTGCGCGGAGACGGGCTTACCGGGAACGGGGGATGGGTTCACCGGGGCCGAGGGGACGGGCTCACCGGGGACAAGGGGACGGGCTGAGCAGAGCTGGGACGGGGCCGTGCGGGAGCAGCTGGGCGGGCAGCACCGAGCAGGCCTGGGGGACGGGGCTGCGTGTGTCGCTGGGTGGGGGGGACGTACCGTGGTCTCCGTGGGGGAAGGAGCTCCCAGCCCCTGAGGCGAGGCAGCCGTGGGTGTGATGGGAAGTGAAGGGCACAGAGCAGTGGGAACAGTGGGTGCCTCGCCACCAATTAGCAGGGCAAAGAGGTGCTGCACCCACATGTGGACACTGGGGGACATGAGGGGGAGGAACCAGAGTTCTGCATGTGGCAACCCCCCCCCCCGGAGCTGCTGTCAGAACACTCCAACAGGGTGGGGCAGCTCGTGGGGCTGGGGACTGTGGGGGATGGATACAGGACCTTCAGGAGGGGCATGGCCGCCCCGTGCAGGAGCACTGTGATGTGAGGGGCTCCTCCGTGGGACACTCAGTGCTGCTGAGCACTGGTGGGTCAGGACTGGAGCAGAGGGCAGGGCGGGGGACACTGTGGTGGGACTTGTTTCAGACCCCCGATCAAGAGGAGGACATGGATGAAGCTTTCCTGAGACAGCTGGGGGAGGTTCAGGCTCCTCATGGGTGGCCCTGGTCCTCACAGGGGCCTTCAACCTGATCTAGTTGAAGATGTCCCTGCTCATTGCAGGGGAGTTGGACTAGATGACCTTTAAAGGTCCCCTTCCAACCTAAACCATTCTATGGTTCCATGATTTTATGATAACCTCCCTGATACCTACTAGAAGGGCAGCACAGCAGACTGGAGCAGTGAAAGAGGTTTCTGAAGGGTGCTTGGGGATGTGATGGTGGCAGCCGTGAGGCAGTGGAGGTCAGCACCCAGGCGACAGGCAGGAACGCAGGCAGCAGGGTGCAGCCCCTGGACTTCAAGTGAGCCAATTTCAGTGACCTGGTAGGTGAGGTCTGGCAGGAGGTGGCTCCAAAGGACGAAGGAGCTGAAGGAAGCTGGGAGGCCTTTGAGGACAGGCTCAAGAGGGGTCACAGGATGTCAGGATGGCTGAGGGTGGAAGGGACCTCGGGAGATCTCCCACTCCAACCCCCTGTTCAGGGCAGGGGCAGCCGGAGCTGGTTGCTCAAGGCCGTGTATATCTGGGCTTTGAAAGCGGACATTCCATCTGGACATGGAGAAACCTGGAACTGGAAGACCGTACTGGCAAGAAAGACTGTACTGGAACAGGTTGCCAGAGCATCTCCCTCTCTGAAGATATTCAAAACTGGGCTGGACATGGACCTGGACAACCTGCTCCAGCTGACCCTGCCTGAGCAGGGGCTGGGATTAGGGGAGCTCCAGAGGCATTTCACCACTCAGTGAGTCCGTGGGTAGCTTCACAGCTGGAGGGGCCACAACCTCTCTGGGCAATCTCTTCCAGGCAACCTGTTTGATCAGCCTCACCATAAAAAATGGGGGGGGGGGGTTTGAGGGGAAAAAAAAAAAAAACAACCCAACCAAACCAACTTTGGAAAAAAGTTTCAGTGGAATCTCCTGTGGTCATTTGTGCTCATTGCCTCTGGTCCTGTCACTGGGCACCACTGGGAAGAGCCTGGCTCCATGTTTCTTCCCTCCCATCAGGCATGTATACACATGGATTCAATGCGCCTGAGCCTTCTCTGCTCCAGGCAGAGCAGTCCCAGCTTCTCCTCATGCAGCAGATGCTCCAGTCCCTTCAGCATTGCTGTGGCCCTTCCCTGGACTCCAGAGGTTGCATCCTCCTCGCACAGGGGGAGCCCTGACCTGGCCAGGGTTCTGCATCCATGACCTCCCCATGCTGCATGGAGGGGAGGGAGTGAGCTGCTCCCCAGCTGCCAGTGCTCGTCCCCCACAGCCTGGAGCACTGTGGCCATCGCCGCCGGGAGGGCATGTTCCTGCCACCTCTCCAGCTCGGTGTCACCACAGAGAGGTGTTTTTTGGGGTTTTTGTTTGTTTGTTTGTTTGTTTTTGGGGTTTTTTTGTTGCTGTTGCCCTTCATGTCCCTCAACAGGTTCAGCTCGAGATGGGGCCCCCAGAGCCGAGCAGTAACTCTCAGCACGCTGACAGGCTTCCTGGTCGGTGCCCGCAGGGATGTGCAGCAGAGCCGCCTGTCGGGACCAGGGAGAGGCATGGATGTACCAGGGGGTTGGTCTGGAGTTGTTGGGAATCCATGGTGGAGCTCCAGCACGGGGAGAGGGGGGCACGAACACACCCCGCCCCACACACACACTGCGAGGGGCGGGGGGCGGGCAGAACAGACAACAAAGGAGGAATTTTAAAACCTTGCCTGGTTGTGCAGGGAGCGTGTCAGGTGGCCAGCAATCAGCTGGGGCTGGGACATGCAAGGTCAAGGACAGTGTCCACCCCACCCTGGGCCGACGGGGGCTGCCCAAGGGACAGGCTGGGGCTGAGGAGGGCAGAGATGGGTGACAAGCACCTGGAGACAGGGCTCAAGGAAGAAAACTACCTGAAATAGAGGAGAACCAAGCTGGGACTCTCCTGAGACGCCTCAACTCCCAGGGGTGGCACCCAAGGGTGCCCAGGGGCAGCTGAGGTCCTTGTGAGACCCTCTCTATCATCTCTGGAAGATGATGGGGACAGGGGGACATTGCTGAGGGGTGGAAAAAGGCAAATGTTGCATCTCCAAATGGCCCCAAACAGCTGGTGCAGGGATGAAGAGGCCACCCAGCTTCACCTTGGTCCCCAGGGACCACGCGAGCCCTCCCGGGGTGCGTTTCTGGCACGTGAAGAAGCAGACGGTGACCAGGAGCAGCCAGGCTGGGCCACAGTGTCAATCGCCCCCCAGCCGCATTGCCTCTCCCATGAGCGACAGCTCAAGGACACAGGAGAGCAGAGATGTCCCTTAGCCCGTCCCTGGCCAGGGGCTGCTGAGCACATGTGCCCGTGCTGGGACATGGGGTCTGGCGGGTGGACATTGGCAGGCAAGCAGTGGGTGCAGCAGGCAGCTCGGGGAGCCACACTCTGCCAGGGGCTGGCAGCCAGTGAATGCCAACAGGGCACCACGCTGGGGTCCCTCACTCAGATTTGCAGGTAACACCAAATCTGCAGAGACCAGTCACTCTGCTTGAGGGCAGAGCTGCCACCAGCGGGACCAAGCCAGGCTGGAGGAAGGGGCCAGCGGGGACCTTACAAGGACAAAGACAAAGTCCTTCCCTGGGCAGGCAGAGCCCCTGGCAGCCGTGCAGCTGGAGTCCATATCTACAGCAGGAGCGAGTCCAGCACGAGCTATGAGGAGGGAGCTGTGCCGGGCCATGTCCTGTGAGGGGACATGTGGTGCTATGCCCCATGGTGGGCTCAGCTCCAGCATTGGTCCCTCTCACCCACCTCCCTGCCCCAAGCAGGGTCAACACTGGGGACAGCTGGAGCTGCTCTGGACTCCCGAGCCCTGTTTTAAGGGTTGCTGTGCTCTTGGGGAGAAGGAGTTTTTCCTGGTATCCGATGGGAATTTCCTCTGCCCCAGCTTGTGTCACCAGCTCCTGCGCTGTCCCTGTGCCCCGAGGGTGTCTGGCTCCAGCTCTCCGCACCCCAGGAGGCAGCTGAGGGGTCTCCTCTCCCCCAGATGACAAGCCTGGCTCCTGTCCCTGCTGTGTCCCCTGCCCAGCCGGGTGTCCCTGCCTGTTTGATCCCAGGGCCCCAGACTGGGCCAGGAACCAGCCGGTAGCAGGGGAAGGGTCCTGCTGGTACAGCCCAGGCACAGGGGTCTCCTTGGCTGTCAGGGCACTCCCGGCCTCCTGGGCACCCCACTGGGGCCCAGATGCCCCAGCCCCAGGTTCACCAGCACCAGCCACATGCCGGCATTTTGCTTTCCCCGCTCCCACAGGCCTGTCCTCGCCCATCCTCCAGGATCCTGCACCCCATCCCCTGGCCAGCTCAGTGGGCCCCGGGCTTGCTGTGGGGTGCCCAGGTCTGCTGGCTACTGGGGGTCCCAGGCAGGTCCAGCAGCCAGCCCTTGCTGTGCCCCGGCAGGGGTGGGGTGGGGGGGGTGGGGTGGCAGTGAGGAACACCCCTGTGGTGCCCCAGCCCCAGGGGACCTGCCCAGCCCCAGCCTCGGGCCCCATGAGGAGCCCCTCACCATGTGCATCATCTGCTGCATCAGCTGTGACGCTACAGCGGCGCAGGACAAGGCAGGTGACGCAGCCAACGCTGCTGCGGCCCTCCCAGGGGGCTCAGCCGGCGGGGCAGGGCGTGTGGGCCCCGACCTGGTGCTGATTGTGCCGCTCCCGGCTGTGTACTCAGCCAGCTCATCCCAGCGCTGTTTGCTCGGTGCACCCAGGGGACGGTGCTGCTGAGACAACATCCAGCACAGCGCGGGGGCTGGCAGGGCTGGGGGTGGCTGGATGCGGTTCCTCACTCTCAGGCAGGGGCTGCAGACAGGGGGGCAGAGCTCCACTCACAGGGTCCGAGGTGAGAAGCCCCCAGCCACAGTCCTGCCCTGAGTTGCCGGAGCTGAGCTGTGCTGGGGCTCCCTGGGGACGCAGCCCTGCACATGGGATCCTGGGGGCACCGCTGGGGTGGTGGGGCTGAGGCCCAGCTCAGTGGGGCAGGGGCTGCTCCCGGGCTGGACCCCATGGAGCTGGTGCGGAGCCGTGTGTGGGGAAGCCCCAGTGCCCACCCCACACACCACACCGGAGACGACGTCGTCACACACGGTTTAATGTCAGAGAGGGGCAGCTCCAGCATTTTGGGAATTACAGCAGCAGGGCTGGAACTCGCCGAGGGGTGCAAGGGACAGCGATGAGCCACCAGGTGCTGATGCTGCCCCATGGCACCAGCTCAGTGCTGACCTGTGTGGGAAACTGGCCTCAGCACCACGCAGTGGTGACCCCGGGACCCCCGCCCCGGCCTCTGTAGGCAGGGAGACAGGGATGGCCTGGGGGGGGCCCCGAGGTGTGAATCCCCCCATCCGCATCCCCATCTATCCCCAGGAGGTGCCTCCTCTGCCCCACGGCACCCCATGGCCTGGCCCTGTCCCCATCCCCCCCCGCCTCAGTCCCTGTGAGGGTCTCACCATGGGGAGAGCTCACCGGCTTCTGCCTCGGCCCCGCATCTGCAGAGGGAAAGTGGGTGACAAGATGGAGACAGGGATGCCCTGGCACGCTGCAGGACCTGCGTAGCCGCACGCAGGCCACGGCGCAGCCACACAGACACGGTGCTGGGCATGGCACAGCACACACCCCCTCTCCATGCATGGCAGGCCCAGGCCTCTGGGCCCCGCTGCCCCCAAGTGCCTCCACAGCCTTGGGGCCAAGCACAGCAGCCAGGCATGGCACGGCACAGCACAGCATGGCACGGCAGGGACTCACCCTCCATGGCTTCGGGAACCTCCAGGCTGTCCAGCCGGTCCTCATCTGCCACGGCCTCGCTGCCGTCCCCGGGTCCTCCATCTGCCTCATCCTCGCCCAGCAGCTCTGCAGGGCAGAGAGGACAGGTCAGCCGGGGCCCTCCCTACCTGTGGCGTGGGCAGTTCGGGGACACCCCAGGAGAGATGTGACCAGCCCAGCGCAGAAGCCTGGCCCCGGCGTGGGACACAGCAGCCCATGAGCCAGGAAGGGGCATGGGGCAGGCCTGACCCTGCAGGGTCCCTGGGCAGTGCTGAGGGGCCACACATCCCCATTCCTGTGCACGAGGGGACACATCCCCATGCAGGGCACGAGGTGGTGGGGGGCTCTGCCCATCCGAGGGCTGAATGCCCTGGGCAGTCCCACATGCCACCCAGGCACGGCAGTGCTTGTCCTGGTGCCAGCACCTGTCTGGAACTCGATGGTCCTCAGCATCTCTGCCACATAGTCCACGTTGATGGAGAAGTGGTCCATGTTCTCGTAGCCCGGCTCTGGGCGGCTGCTCATCGACACCTTGGACATGTCCGTGATCCTGCAGGGCAGGCAGACCCCCCCCCAGGAGCTGCCGGGGTCCAACACCCACAGGGTC